AACTCTAGAGCCTTTGGAAACATTGAAGAATAATTTTGGCTCAGTAGCTCCAAGGGATTATAGCCATTGATTTTAGACAACATATCCACTTGCTTTAAACTAAGGGATCTGAACTTCTGTAAAAAGTGAGAAGGGATTACACTGCAGCTTGTACAGTTCAAAACAGTGACTGGGAGACAGAAAATTGGGAGCAAATGGCCTAACAAGTTCAATGGCAACCACAACTTGGAGCAGATGGTGAAAGCAAACCGAGTGGTTCTATTGAAAGCTAAGCACTGGAGGAGTCTGGAGGGTATTACCTACCCTTGCATGACTTTCTGCAGCTCACAGAAAGATTTCATATTTCATTTTTGATCCTCTTCAAAACCCTGTGAGGTATTTCCCATTCTGGGATGAGAGTAAGCCTCACAGAATTTAAGGCATACCTCTTGAAAACCACTGTTTGTCTCAGCTTGCTCACTTGACAAAGATTGTTTAAAATAACAAATTTTGGACAATCATTTCAAGATATTGTTGTTTCTTAATCCCACATTCAAATTATGGTTCCCAGAATTGACCATTAGATTATCTTTTTTTTCTTGCTTGAATGTTCATAATTATCTATTTTCCTCTGTCATTCACCTGGGGGGGTGATTATTCAAAATATTCACAGTTCTACCTGCTCCCCCTACCCAAGGAAAGTGAAACTAAGAAAGAAACCAATTCCAAGGTTAGAAGTCACGTGAGGACAAATCCATGTTGTGGTTTTATAAATGTAGTTTATCCCACCACAGTGAACATACATTGAGACCCCTTTTGAACATAAAGTTAAATATTAATAATGAAAACTAGGATTATAAAATAATTACTGTGTGTGCTTGTGTGGGGGTACTAGTGGGGGGGGAGGGTAAAGGAAGGAGATTAGGGTGATGGTATATGGTAGATAGACTTTGTATAAATACATAAAACAGAACTAAGACACCTCTTGCAATTGCTTTAAGTGGAGTGGGATGGGGGGTGAGAGGGAGAAACAATGTAAATAATGTGCAATATAAGTCTAATTAGAATTATCACTAAGAATCCCCCCTGTATAATGAATATATGCTGATTAAAAATTATAATAAATAAATAAATAAATATAGCTTAAATCAAAACACCTGGCCAAAAACTGACTGCTTCTGACATTTAATTCAAACTATGTGTTTCAATCACATGACTGAACTTGTAAATTGTACTCAGGAAGCTGTAGAAATTTATTTAAAAATATTTAACTTAGGATTTTGAGAGAAAAGTTGTGCTAGAAATCAATCTACAACTGTTCACAGGTCATTCTTCAAAGATCTTGTTTTGATGGATGTTTATGAGTGAATGTAATGGGGAAATTAGAGGATTAGGTAATTAGAAAAACCTAGTTCAAATCTTAACTCTGGTAAGTCCAGTTTTGTGACCTTGGACATGCCAATTGACCTCTGTGAGCTTCAGGTTTCTCATCTGCTTTGTAAAATTAAAATTAAGCAAACTGACCTCCAATGGCTAATTTGAGGATTAAATAGGATAATTTATTTGCACATAGAAAATGTTCAGAATGGTAGCATTATTAATATGAGAACTAAGAAAAGATCTGGGTGACAGCAATAAATTTATTAATACAAGGGACATCTATAAGTTGGTTTTATTACTATAATTCTCTATTCTATATTATAGTAGTGCTTCTCATACTTACCTATGTAAGTCCTTAAAAGACCCAGTAGTATAATTATTTGTTATTAAAAAACTTAAAGCTTTATGAAAAGTCATGCTAGATGATAGAGGTAAGAAGTAAAATATTAATAATATATTTCACAGGTTTATTCCCACTGAAGAAAAATTGATATCTCACTAAATTAAAAATTATTTGTAGTATTTTATATATACTAGATTAGTAATAATAGTTTTTGCTTTTTAGTTATTTTTTTACAAAGGGCCTTGTTTATTGTCTAGGGTCTGCCTTGGACCCTGATCCTCCTACCTATAGCCTCCCATGTAGCTGGAATGACTCATGTACTACCAGCTCGGCTTGTTTTGTTGAGATGAGATCTTGCTAACTTTTCTCCTTATGCTGGCCTAGAGCTGAAATCCTGATTTTTGCCTCCTGAGTAGTTGGGATTACAGGCATGGGTTTAAGAATCTCTCTTTATCACAAAGTACCTGCATAATACTTTTGTTTTACAAGATGTCTGATAACATTCTTACAAGCTGACTTTGCCCCCTTGTTTGTTCCTCCATTAAAAATGTTCCAGTCTTCCCACCCAGTAAAACAATAAAAAAAGAGAATGTTCCAGTCTTTCCAAAGTGTGTTGGTACTTGTCTTTCCTTTCTTGTGTTGCCCATTCACTTTCCTCTACCTTTGGAATTAGTTTCATAGGTGCTTTTTTTTTTCTTTCCACATTTCACCATGTTCCCTAGGGCAGATATCGAGTAACTTCAATGCTAGCACATAAGAAATCAATCAACCAATTTTTTATATAATCTTCTCAATTGAATATATCTTTTTGAGTCCCCTCTTAACCTACAGTGGTATTGGACTCATGTATGTGTTGTGTATGGTTTAAATTCCTTTCATAAAGCCCCAATCCCTGACCTAGAGTTAAAATCTGTGCAAAGTAAAATTTTTATTTCTAAGATTTCATTGCTTCACTTGCTCTCTACTATCTTTCCAGCTTCTTTCCATTACAAATTTCCACCTCTTTTTGTAGTTATCATCAACGAGAGTTACTTGTGAGTTACAAATACTGCATCTAAACTTCTCTAATTGTTTAAAAAATAGCACAGTGGTAACCCAGCCTTAAAGGTAGTAAGACAAATCTGTATGAGTTGATTCTTATACCTATATTGATTTCTATTAATCAAAACCTATTACACAAATATGTTTAAATGTCAAGATAGGAATATAGGAATAAATGAGAAAAGTGCCAGTTTATCGGCTGCAGCACTAAGTTTCTCCTACCCTCTTAACAGTAGGACTGGCTAATAGTCAGAGTCAGGTTTTGAGAAGCAAAGCTAGAAGAATCAGGCTGGATAGAGTAGTGTATCAAGTCATTGTGTCAGAGGGAAAAGTCAGTGTAAGCACAACACCCAAGGTGCAGTTGCAACACTAAGAGTTTAAAATGGGGATCAATTCAGAGGGAAGACAGATAGATAATAAGCAATGCTGGGGTACTGGGGGTCCTGGATGAATGTCAGCTAATCCAGTTGGCATCATGAGCTACCATTAATGAGGACAATTAAAAGTGTTCTTTCTGTGTAGTCTAGGCTGACCTAGAACTTAGGATCCTCCTACCTCTGACTCCTCAGTGCTGGGGTTACTGGCACATGCCACCACACTTGGCTTCCGACTGACTCTTAAAGCAAATGGGGAAGAAATAATTCTTAACATTCCTAATAAGATTCTCTGGTGATTTTAGATATGCTAAAATCATGATAAGTAACCACCATACAGAGAAAATGGGGTAACTAACTATGGCTATATAATAAAAATGGGCATGCAGTGATGAGATTTATTTATAAGTATATGTTACCAAGCATAAATTCATACTGTTTGTTTAATTTTCTATTTAAACTACTAATGAAATACTCTATAAAAGTAGGGTACTAAAATTGTGTCAAATTAGTGTAAACTCTGCACTGCATGAAGACAATACTGTAATTACTAAATGGTAGAAATATAATTATTTATAGTTCTTAAGCATTACAATTAAGGACACCACATTCTAAGCTTTTAGAATCATTGGTTCATGATTTTTCAAATCCTTTCTTTTAAACTCTTCAAATTCTGAGTTTGCCATATGTCTGTTTTAAATGTCCTCTAAGTATAAAAGGTTTGGTATTCAAAAAGCTCAGTAGAGTCACAGGCCATTGTGTGACTCAGGATTCAAGACTCAATAGGAATGGATTTAATTTTTATCTTATTTTATAGTTTTTACTTGGCATAAATGTAATATATCAAAAAATAGAGCAAAAGAAGGAAGGAGTCCCATGTGTAGAAAAAAGGTTTAATATCAGTTTATATAATTCAATAGTGGAAACCTTAGAAAGTCTTGTTTGACTATTAAAATGTTATCCATGGAAATTATTCCATTTGATACTAAATTTATGGAAGTTTTAAATACAGATTTTCATGTCAGTTGAAAGTTCCTCTAGCCAGTTCCTAGAAACACTTAAGAATGGTTCTTTAGGTTTATTATTTTTGTCTGCCTTATTTCTGCTAGTTAAAGCACCTCAATAAACACTTTCCCCTTAATATTGACAGAAAATTCTAAAATATTTTCATAAAGAATGCATATAGGTAATAAAACCTACTTTCTAAATCATCTTTTTTCATTCTATAAGAAAATGATTTTCAGAATAAATAAAGATACTGACCCAGGTTGTATTATTTATTTATCACAGAGCTAATAGTTCAGTGTTCTAGGCTGTGTAAAGTTGGTAATGGCTAATGTGGCCACATGTCAGGGATAACATTCCCCTTTTAGATAACGATGATAGTAGAGTCAACGGCTACTATAGTAAGCCAGAGATATTTATGATTCTAAGTAAGCCATGCATGGCAATTAAAGGTAAAAGAAACAGCGGAGGCATGGTTCTGACTGCTTAGTAAACAATTGTAGGAAGATGTTTATTAAAGCTGGCTTTCAAGTGACAGATAAATGCATAGTTCTATTATGCATGCTAAATTCAGCATGCTGCAAGCTTAAAAGCAGATAGATCAAAACAGGAGAGATTTTAAAAAATCATAAAGACAAAATGCAGCAATGTCAGAATGTGACAGGAAAATAATTTTGCCTTAAAAATGGTCTCTCCTTAGCCCCTCAAGAAACATGTAACCATAATTTATGGAATAAAATTAAAAGCAAGTTAGGACTGTTCCATTGCTTAACTTGCCTTACATTGAGCTTTAAAAAACCCACTTAAATGGTTCCTGTTAAGCTCAGGTACCATTGAATCCCTTAAACAAACAAACAAAAAACTATATCTCATAATTGCTGATGTATAATTCTTGTTTATTAATGTGTGATGTTTAGTTCTTTAAAAAAAGAAACGAAAACAAAAAATGCACACACACAAAAGACACTAAACAGACTCTTGTACAGTTTTTTCCACCATGTAAGTTTCTAATGCATGATTTTTAGAGGAGTTGCCTTGCTCAGGATTGGTATATATTCTTCCATTTCCACTGTCCAGAGCCATATTTATAGATAAATGTATAAATATTGTAGACGATGGGTTGTACAACCTTCACATGATTACAAATTCAGTTCCTTGGTTGTCTGGGACTTTGTGTAAATGCCAATAAATTTGAGAGTTCACCCAACTGTGCCTCTTAACCTTTGTTCCCAAAGGTAAAGGGCAGAATTTTTAATCAAGTAGCAATTTATCTTTAATTAGAAAAACATAATTAGGTATTATCACTTAATTGCAATTACTGTTTGGAGAAAGTCACATTTCATGAGTAGTGACCCATGTTAGATTACAGTTCTCCTCATACTGAATTTTCCATCTGTATTTGTATTTGGCAGACAGCCAATAAAATATCAAAGGTAATCATTACACTTCTCTGCAGTTCTGGTGTCAAAGTCGCCAACTCTCCTGCTGAATAGTAAACCAAGAGACCATTCTGGAACCAGTCCTTAGCCATATCTGTTTCCTGTTCAGACATCAAGAGTAAATCAAAATAATTGTATAAAAAAAATCCCAGGTGAAATAGGTTAGAGAACCATCCACACTTTGTTTCTGGTACAGTTAAAGACAGTTTAATGTCTCAAGGCACCACTATGGTTGAATATCAGATACATGGGTAATTGGCTAATCTACTATGGTGTAAAGTCAATAAGTAGCTTGTGCAATTGTGAAAAGCAATCTCTAGAGGACTGTTAAGTATACAGTAGGCACGTGTATTTTAATACAAATAGAAAACAATGAGTCCTAGAAAAAGCATGTCGAGCACCTTTGTGGCATTGTTTGTAATTCTTTACCTAACACTATGTAAACCTTACATTTACAAAAGGAAAGACTAATTTTTTACAGTGACACTCCAGGTTGCTTTTGGTGCTACCTTCTGGTAAATGAATCTAGTTCGTAGGTGTACTTTTAGAAGTCGTTGGGTCTTCATCAGCTTCTGTTGCACTGGTAGATTCGTTCAAGTGTGAGCTTAAGTTTTCTGAAGTCAGGTGGGAAGACTTGTAGACGATCTCATTGAAGTCAGACCTGATGCAAACCAAAGGAGGGTCATTCAGTGGGTCTTCCACAGAGACCTGGGTGTTTTCTCGAGTGATTCCCATGTCTTTGCTGTGTTCTGATGGGGATTTTCTTTTCATGCGAGTGTAAGTTTTGTCTTGATTTTCCATGCCTTGCTCATTTTTCAAAAACCGTCCAAAGAACCAAATAAAGAATCCAAACCACACAAAAGCTATCAAACTTGGAACAAAAGCCAGACACTTGACATCAAGGCTTGCCCCTATGAACCTACTGTGTAAGAACATATCTCCCTCAACATAGGTTTTATTAGTCTGTGGGTTAGTGTGATTGGACCTCCATTCCCAAGATAGCTTGGTTCTGTTCAAATCCTTTAAACTTTCTGAGTCTTTCACTGTATATATCTTCTGCCCTGGGCCAATATACTGCCCATATTCATGAGGCTTATAGAATATTTGGTTCTTCCACATATTAAGATCCAAAATCAAGACGAGAAAGATAATTCCATAGTTAAACCATTTACCTGCATTAAAAAAAGAAATACTGCATTAATCAAAGGCCCATAAAATTGCAATAGGGTTTTCTCCAATAAAATGAAGATAATGGTGTAATAGTAAAAATTGTTAATGCTTAAGACCTATTAACATTTAATTTTTTGACAGTGCAATGCTGCCATAAGGTGAACTGGCAAAGGAAACTTACTAAATGCATTCTAGGCATATGGAGTTGTAACAGTAGATCCCTGAGTCAGTAACTTATGGCATTTATTTTAAAAAGATTAAGTCTCTTTGCTTTATAGGCTCCACAGCTGTACTCAAATTTGGCTCTATGTAAGTTATTTTCTAGAACATTTCAATTAATATTGAAAAGCAAATTTCTAGTGAAATTCTTAAGAAAGTCCAATATATGATTAAACATCTCTTACACTTTTATAATTATGTCTATGTAAGAAATAAATCATTTTGCAATGCAAAGCAAAATAGTATGTCAACTGAATTCACATTGCTGTTTATAGGTGACCTGCTGATTAAACTATTAGGTAATGTGTGATTCAGATCAATAAGACTTGAGAATTCAAGACTTTAAAAGTAATAGATTCAAATTCTCATCAAACACAATACATTTATTAGTCATATAAATATAACCAAAGCTAATGAACTGCCTTAAAAGACATTATTTGGAGAGAGTCTGTAATAGCTATGATTTTTTGTAGCATTTAAAATCGTGTATAAATGTTATTTATTTAGTGATATCTTATTATTTATATCTGCAAATGGAAAGAATGCAAAAAGTTTCCAAGCAATATTAGATTCTATTATAATATTTATTATAATTCATTACAATCTTTACAGTATCAAGTACACCATAATAATAGACAGACACCTCATATGTTTGTTGTAGCAAATTATGTGATGTAAGTAGCAGGTTCTAGTAGCTTTAGTTATAACTTTATGTATTATGTGAAAATTCTTTTCAATTTTATTTGAAAATAAGTAACATAGCTGTGAGGGGCTTAGATAAGTATTTTGTCATCATCATTACATACTTTTATGCCCTCATTATACTTAAGGTTGAAGCCAATCCTGGCTTCAAAATTTACCTCTGTGATTTTGTTCAGTTATTTAAATTGTCTGAAAAACTAGTATTTATTGAAGTTGTTAGCATTTCATTAGATTATTACATAATGAGCAGAGTGACTGGTAGATAATAAGGACTCAGAAATTCTTAACACTAATTGATAGTATTATTATCAAAATCTTGCTTAAAGCCTGGTGATTTCTTCATTTTTTTTCTTTTTCTTTTTTAATTATATTTTTGTCTCACTGTGACATTTACAAAGGTTCTTACAATATATCATAGTTGAATTCATTTTTAAAATTTATTTTATTTTAAAATATTTTTATAAGTTCATAATAGTGGTACACGGGGTTTCATTGTGGCGTTCCCATATATGCATACAATGTACCCCAGTTTGGCTCATAGGTCCATTATTCTCCAGATTTCTTCATTTGTATGAAAAAGTGAAACCTGATTTCTCCAAGACAATTTATATAAATGATGTAGTGACACCCACACCTTTGTAGTTGATTAAGCTTCTTGATCTTGACTTTTCTTATTTAGTTTTATATTTGATTCTTAGTTATGAACCTTTTTGAATTTAGTGTCAAATGTTACAAATATTTTATCATGTCTGGAAACAACATTCCCAATTTTGCAAGTTACTTTCTAGTTTTTTTGTGCAAAAACAAAATTCAAATACAAAGGTGAGTATTGTTACTAAACATTTATTGTGCTTATACACATAGCGTGCACTCTGTTCAGGACACACTGGTAGATGGTGAACACATATGTTTTTGCCTTCCAGAGGGAATTCAATATCTTGTTGGGGAAACAAGCAGAGGCATTAACAGTAATAAGAGGTCACATTTGAGAGATGGCAAATGAGTGCTAGGAACTATAAATGCTGATGCTGAGAATGTGGAATGAAAACTGAGGGATGATTTCTGCAGAAAGGATTTTGGAGGAAACAGCAATTCATTTGGTCCTTGTAGGAAAAGCAGAACGGAGAACACTGGAAAATCTTTTGTTGCTTTTATTAGTTTATGTTTCAGATAGAATAGTATTGAAAAAGATGAGGTGATGTAGAAGGGAGGAGCTGAGAGTAGAAAGAAGAAAAATATGGGGACTACTGTAAGAAAAGAAAGACAAGAGAGGGATGAGAGACTGGTGAAGTGAAAAAGTTCAGAGATTTTCATCTCATATTAAGGAAGTAGTAATCTGTAGTTTCTATGAGAGAAGGCTTTGGATTCTTCTCCACTGTAGAAGATTCACAGTTATTCTCTTGCTGTAGACTATATGTGTTACAAAGCCAGATCGAGCTTGTGTGACTATCTCTGCCTGATTCATGGAGGACTCCTGGAGAAATGTGTATCCATTTTTAGTTCTTTCTTAAAAATAAAATTAAGGCTAGGGAAGTTCCTTGTGAAGGGATCTCTGTTCTAGGGTTAATAGGATATCAATATCTGAGATATCAGCATTCCAGAATCAGAGAGGAGAGAGAATGTAGAGCTCTACAAGAATGCTTGTAGAGCTTGGTGAAGAATTTTTCCTAGTATAGAGAAGTGGCCTAGTATGTGTTAATGCGCCAAGAAAAAAAAAATCACAGGACAAAAGTGGAAGCGACTGGACATCAGTCAAACTAAGAAAGAATACCAAAGACAAAAGGAGCTTTTTTTCATACTTCCAAATTATTTTTCTGCCAGTTGAATTGGGCTAGGTCAGTCTAACCAGTTAAACTTTCACATCAAAGAATCACTTTATGCTATTTCTCACGTGACCTGAAGTTTGAATACTCAGATAAGGTGGGAGAGGACCAAGTTAAAAAGGTGCTGCCTAACTTCAGTTAGTGGACGTCATTACCTTGCTCCAAAGCCTTTGCGAATTTGTGAGTAGGATGGGGACTTCAACAGATGGAGGGCTCATCCTAACTTTAAACTTAAAGGATACAACCTCTGATTAACCTGTTTAGTCTCTCTCGTCCACAATTATTTTATTTGCAATTTGAGGAAAGTCAGGTAGATGCCTTCCACTTCTATGATTCTGCCCTCCCCTAAAACCTTCACTTATTAGGTATGGGTAGAACCCAATTTTTTATTCTACAAAATGGAGACTAAAACACCAGTGTAACTATCTCAAAGGATTTTTGTGAGTTTTTAAAATGAAAGGTTACATTTGAAAGTTCTTTGAAACATATTAAATTGCCGAAAATGTAGAGTGGTATTATTTTTTCAATTTCTTTCCTCTACTTTGTCAATCCAGGTAATATAAGATGTGGGTGATAGAACAGAGGGAAAGAGAGGCATGTAAAGGGTTGTAACAAAGTTATATCTATTCTAAAGTGATCAAAATTTTCAACTTGAATAACCTAGAATAAATTATTGAGGTAGATTTATAGTGACAGCCAAGAGTACCCAGTGTGTAGCGGTATGTAAATATTGTTTGTGAACCAGCATATTTAACATGTTAAAAATTCTTAGCACTTTGTGGTTTGTATATTGCTTGTACTGGTATTGGCCCTGAGAAAGCTTCTTTTATATACACAAATTTTGAGGCTAATAACAGGTGATTGTGTCACTGCCTATGTCCTGGAGTCCAGAGGCCATGTGGGGATGGGAAAGCAAAGAGGTGAAACTGAAGTCAGAGTTTCTACTAACATCAAATTTCCTTTCATTTCTGTGGATGTAACCAGTGTCTTCCCCACACTGTCATGGCCACTCAGCCAAAACCTGAAGTTGCTAAAAGGGTAGAAGATATGACTGTTTATTTTTATTTGTTTCCAACTATCTGACATGACTTCTGGCCAATTTATCTATTTGTACAGAGGAAAGATGCTCATCTTTCTCTCTATAAGCCATCTTTCCATTTTCCCACGTAGTATTTTGTTACCTTGGTAATGTTTTCTCTGAAAAAAAAAACTGTTTTGCTCTATGAGATGTCGCAAAGCAGAAGGCAAAGTCAGCCATTTCTGTGTTCTTGTCTATAAAGTGAGGGAGTTGAACTGTATAATCCTTAAGGTTTCTTCTCAGCCCTAAAAATCTGTTTGATGAGCCTATGGAATAAGCATCATCCAACCTTAATGTTTTATGATGAGGCAGAAAATTTCCCCATTATAGCAAATAAATGGAATACATGGTTTTCAGATTGAGAAAGGTTTTCTTAAAAATTGTGTATTTTGAGAAAAACTGTTTACCATAAAAAATAAATTTGAGTGCCAGAAATGAAGCACATGGAAAGGATATAAGACACAAAATTGAAAGAAACCAAACGTGTTTCTCTAGACATTCTCCCAAGTGCATCATTGTGAATATACGCTCACCAGTACCAAGAGGTTAGGTATTGCAGCATCAATCATATGAGAGCTTTTGCACTTCCCCCTGTTGTTACAACTACATAGCATAATGTAAATCAGCAAGGAGGTAGTGTAAAAATCCATACATTATTTCTATTAATCTCCTTGTTGAAATATCTCGCTGTCTCCTTTAATGAGAAATCACTGCATGGTGTTGGTGGGATTACCTCTCTCTTGTATTTTGTGCTTTTAATGAATCTTACTGATTGTCAAAAATGATGTTATAATGGAAATTTTATCTTTTTACTTTGCGGGAGTTCATAGACTCCTTGGATAGCTAATTTTAAAGGATTTTTTCATTAAATATCACCCTCATTTAACATCGCAAATGACAACAATTTGTGGGAAAGTTTTATTTTTCCCACTAAGGAAAAGACCACAAAGTGCTGATATTTATGTCATATAATGAACCATTCATGATTCCAATATGCAGTTATAATATTTTTAATCATTTACTCAGATTGCCAGTTGGCATCATGGTTGAGCTGTGTTGTAGGCATCACTCTACTTAGTTGGTGGCACCACCTGTCCAGGCATCTAGTGCAGGTGCAAGAAGGAGTCATACTCCACACAGGCATTTAGCATCCATAATGGGATAGCAGGAAACCATCATG